TTTCACAGCTGAGCAGGCTCAGGCTCTGAAGCCACTGATCTGAGGGCATGGAGCTGGCAAGTGGCAGAACCAGGGCCAGAACCTTGCTGCTCTGGGTCTCTTATGCTAAACCTTAAACAACCAATTAGCTCTGGGACCAAAAGACTGAACTGGGATTCAGTGAGGAGTGAGCCTGATGTCAATTGAGGTCCGTCTTGAGAACAGGGAGGAGGAAGAGAAGGAGATGGTTCTGAGACTTCAGGTCTCAGAGCTGCCACTCCCCACCCCTGATGGCCTGCCTGATGGTTTCCCCCACTCCCTACCTCTTTTAGAGCAAGTTCTCAAAAGTGACTTAGACTGGCTGCCAACCAGATTTCAGACATGCAGCCTTAGGTCAGGCCATATGAAGCAATCAGCTCTGACCAGAGAAGGCAGAAACCATATGGTCACAGTTACTCAGCCAGGGCAGAAAGTAAGGGGAGAGGACAGGGGTAAGTAGGGACCCCAGACAGGCGCCAGCAGGAGGCATCTCCAGTTACCCAGTAGCTCCAACAGGTCTTGCTCCTTTTTGCTGAAGGAGACGGGGTATAGCTTATCACTCCCATTCTTCAGAGGGAACTGAGCACCAAAGAGGACAAAGGGCTTTCCTGGGCCCACACAGCCAGTTAGTGACAGAGTCTAGGGTCAGGGCCAGGCTTGACTCACCCTCCATTTCTACCCCTCTACACCTCTCTCCCCACACACAAAAGTGGAGTTCCACTGAAACACCCCAACACCCCCCCCCCACACACATACAGAGTGGATTTCCACTGAAACACCCCAGCACCCCCCCCACACACACACAGAAGTGGAGTTCCACTGAAACACCCCTCCTTGCTGTGCCTTCTGAGCCTGCAGCCCGGCTCCCCTGCTCATGTATTATTCAGTACCTAAGAGCCAGGCAGCTCCCATTACACTAACCAAAGCCCAGCACCTGCTCTGCCCATTCCCCTCCTCCCTTGCCCAGGACCTAGAGGGTCCAAGGTTCTCCAAGATGACTTGGTGGGCTTTTGACCATCCCACTCTATGCCCCACTTGTGGCCCAGTGCAGGTGTGCTGGTGATTTAGGACAGGTGGCATCCCATCTCTGTGGCTCAATGTCTTCCTCTGGGAAGCCGAAGTGACCCAAAGGCTCCCTTCTGGGGGTTGAGCCAGCTGTGGTCCAGGGAGGGCCTGACCAGGACCAGCACTGATGTTCCCATGACGACTCCAAGGCCAGAGTGTCCTTCACAGGCCTCACAGGCAGTCTTCCAAGGCC